CCCCCCACCCCCTCCATCTCCACACACTCTCCTCTATCCATCCAGCCGTCCCTAGACCTGCCCCCCCGAGACACCTGCCCCCCCGACCTAGGTGTGGCTGCGCCATGCAGGGCGGGACCCACGTGGGCGTCGTACCAGCAGCTGCATCACCCGGTGTTCGCAGCATCACCCAGCAGGAAGTGGCCAGGCTGGGCAGAGCCGTGTCAGACGGGGGAGCAAACAGCACCCAGGGCGGCAAAGCCAGAGTCCCCCCGGCCTGTAAGGGGGCCAGGGCCCGAATCTGAGCTCAGCTCCAGGGGTTAATCCGGACCCCACTCCCCTCCCAGAGCCAGGGAGAGAACCCAGGAGTCCTGGCTCCCGCCCCCCCGCTCTAACCACCAGACCCCACTCCCCTCCCAGAGCCAGGGAAAGAACCCAGGAGTCCTGGCTCCTAGCCCCCCCAGCTCCCAGCCCCCCGTTCTCACCCACCAGACCCCACTCCCCTCCTAGAGCCAGGGAGAGAACCCAGGAGTCCTGGCTCCCAGCCCCCTGCTCCAACCACTAGACCCCACTCCCCTCCCACTGCCAGAGAGAGAACCCAGGAGTCCTGGCTCCCAGCCCCCACCCCACCCCGGCTTTAACCACTAGACCCCACTCCCCTCCCTGATCAGTTCCCTTCCTCCTCCCGCGCTATCAGCAGGGTCTGGGCGTCCCACTAATGCGCTGACGACAGTGCCGAGGAGGGAGGCTCTCGGGGCATGGAAGGGCAGAGCCCGCAGAGGGGAGTCACCCATCGGCCCCCTTCCGCACCAGCCTTTCCCTCATCTCACCCGGCCGCCCCGCCAGCACCTTCCCCGGCCCACCCCTGAGGGCCACAGCCTACCTGATGTCGGGCCCCCAAACCCCTGACTGCCGGCAATTTTCCCTCCCCTCCCCGGCACACAACAATTTTCATCTTCAATTTTTCCCCGCCCACCACCATTTTTCACCAACATCTCCCACAAGAGGCTGTAATGGCCCTGCCCCCTTTAAAGGCCGGAGGCCTGCTCAGTGATAAGCTCCAGCTGGGGCCGGGTCATGTGTGCTCTATAAAGAGCTGCAGGAGGGCTGCAGGGTGTGGGGAGTTGAGTTGAGTTGAGTTGAGTTGAGTTGAGTTGAGTTGAGTTGAGTTGTTGGCCAGGCCATTGCTACAGAGGAGTTCAAGGTGGAGTAGGAGGAGACCAAGGAGGTAGGTGGCTAACCAGGAGTTTCCTCTTCCAGGGAAGACCCACAGTGGGACCAGGATCATGGAATGGGCAGCTGGGCTCAAGGAGATGCCTGAGGCAGTGCAAAACTCAACTGAGCCCAGGGAGGGTAGGAGAGGGTTCGTCCTTCTGAACTGGGCTGGAACTCTTGCATGGACCACCAGTAGTTATGGGGCTGCTGCCATCCTTGATCTGGCCACCAGGAGGTGCTCCAGGACAGTGAGTCCATACCAATGCTGCACCAGAGTGAACCTAGCTAGACTCACCTGTAGGTAATTAACCACCTAGGTGGTTGGCAGCTAATTGGCTAATGAGCACCTGGTCCACAAGCGGCTCCCGGAGCTCAGTGGGAGATGGGGCTGCTCCTAAGCTGAAGAGCTCCTGGAGGGGCTATTGCAGATGCAGGGCCGGAGGGGGTGAATCCAGCTCCCAGGAGAAGACGTCTGTGTGGTCGATAACGTGCAGGGGCCGAGGGAGGTGGTGGGACTCTGAAGCTAGCAGAGGGAAAATCCCTCTTCAGGGCTGGCAGGGGAGCAGAGTCTAGTGGGTTATGGGGGGAGGGGGCTCCTGGGTTCTATCCTTAGCTTGGGTGGGTGGGGGGGAATGGGGATAGTGGTTAGAGCTGGGGGGTGTCTGGGAGCCCGGACTCCTGGGTTCTCTCCCCGGCTCTGGGGGTTAGAGCAGGGGGGGCTGGGAGCCAGGACTCCTGGGTTCTCTCCCGGGCTCTGGGAGGGGAGCGGGGGCTGGTGGTTAGAAAAGCAGCAGGGGCTGGGAGCCAGGACACCTGGGTTCGCTCTGTAGCGAGACGGGCATGTTCCAGATGCTCTTTGTGCTACTGAAATGACTCAGGCGACAACCACAAACCCCTTTGGGTTTTTTCTTTTTATTCGTTGCCGGTAAGAGAGTTTCTGTTCATTTTAAATAAAGACTGTCCCCATGGAGACAGAAACCAAGGCAACTGCAGCATCTTAATGCGAGACCGTGACACACACACACCTCCCACGCACACCTCCCACCCCCTGGGACAGGACCCCTCCTGGAGCAGATCCAATCATTCCTCCTCCCTCCATGGATTGATTCCCCCCCCCCACTGCTGCACAGAATGGATCCGTCCACATATGAGCCTGTAATGGATTGGTCTATTCCTCCCTGCTCCATGAAATGGTTTGGCCCTTGGTGATATCCTTCTCCCACCTCAAGGGAATGGTTGGGTCCATTCCACCCCCCCCCCATGGAATGGATCAGTCTGCGTGTGTCTTGAGCTGTGCTAGAGCACTCACCCTCCTTTTGTTGGAATGGATCGGCCCATTCCACACACACCCCCATCCATGGAGTGGATCAAGCCACATGTGGTGGCTCCCACCCACTATGGATCAGTCCATCTGACATTGCTCTATGCAGGGAGAGTCTCTCCTTTCCCCTCCCCACGATGGAATGGATTGGCTCAATTTCCTCCCCCTCCATGGAATGGGTCAGTCCATGTGTGGCTCTGTGGAGAGTGTTGGCAAGGTAGAGTGGACAGTACCATTGCAATCCTGAAATGGGGTATGCAAAATTACCAGTGGACAATACCATTGCCAAAGAGGGCACCAGTGGACAGCACCATTGCACAGACTAGTGGGGGGAAGGGTACCAGCAGAGTAGAAGGTATCTGTGCAGATTGTGAATGGGGGAGGGGAGAGAGGAAAGTACCATTCATTGCATGGTGGGGGGGGGGGGGGAGACGCCCCCAAGGCGGGGGGGGGGTCGCATTGCACAGGCTGGGGGGGGGGGGACAGGAGGGGAGGATACCATGGCATGGCTGATGGGGGAGGGGGGGAAGAAATGGCAGGTACCACTGTGAGTAGATTAGACAGTACCATTAGTCAAAATGGGGAGGGGAACAAGAGTGGAGGGTACCACTACATAGCTGGGCCCTGGTTGAAGGGGTGGTGAGGAGAATGGAAGGTACCATTGCACATCCAGATGAGGGGTGGGTGGACTCTCCCAGGCACTGAGAACATCCTGCGCTGGGCGGGGCTGGACTAGGTCCTCCTTCTCACCTCCCCGCCTTTGCCCTGCCCCAGGCTGCCCCCTTCGTCGTCCTCCCCCTCCCCCATGCAGACGCCCCTCAGGGCCCGCGAGAGGCGCTCCTTGCTGGGCACCAGCCAGGGCCCAGGGGCTGGTTCCGAGAGGCCCCTCCAGACCTGCTCCCTCTGGGGGGAGAGGGACCCGCTCTCTCCCTTCCTGGCCTCCGCCTCCTTCCCCGATGCTGGCCAGCCCTGCTCTGCGCCCCGATGGTCCCGGGACCCGCGTTGGTGGTAGCGGTGGGATCCGCGCTCAGCACTGCTGGGAGAAGCCTCCAGGCAGCACGTGGCGTCCCGTCCCCAGCGTGGAGACCTCTCGGCCGTGTCTGCTCTCCAGCCTTGTGGTGCCGGTCCACCCTCTGGCATCCGGTCCCGCCCGGCGGGGCTGGGGATGTGCTCACGGTCTGGAGAGGGGAGAGAGAATGAGATGGGGGGGGGGGGGGGATCGGCCCCAGAGAACAAAGAAAAAGCCCCCCCCCCATCCTCCCTACAGTTACCCTGGGATCGCTTCCTTAGGGGTCCTGCCCCCTGGGATCAACCCCCTGTTTTCTGGGGGGTGTCCCCCCCCCACCCGCATGTCCTTGCCAACATCCGTTCAGACAGTTTGGCTAAACAGCGAGGGGCTGGTGAAGCTTGGGGGGGGGGGTTGGTAGTGGGGGGTCTCCTGGGGGGTACAACAGGGTCAGTGATGGGAGGGTGGGGGTGGTCTGTGGGGAACAGCAGGGTCAAGGCAAGGGTCCACAGTTGGGGGCCAAGAACAGAGAGGGGGGTTACTCATATATCCCCATCTATGGGGGGAGGGGGAGTATCTATCTCTCTAGCACTGGAGAGATTCCCCCGCCCGGGAAACAGCACTGAACTCCACATTCCTGGGGGGGGGTGTCTTGTCAGGATTGGCCAAGCAAACAGATCAAAGGGGGCCCGGTAGTATGGGGAGAGGGGGCAGGATTGGCCTATTGCTCTGATCTGGGGGGGCAACTGGATTGGCCCATTGCTGTGACTGGAATGGGGGGGGCTGGATTGACCCACTACTCTGACCTGGCGGGGGAGGAATTGCCCATCGCTGTGACTGGGATGGGGGCGGGGGCTGGATTGGCCCATTGCTCTGGCCTATGCGGGGAGGAATTTCCCATTGCTGTGACTGGGGCGGGGGCTGGATCGGCCCATTGTTCTGGCCTGGGGGGGAGGGGGAGCAATTACCCATTGCTGTGACCGAGGGGGGGGGGCGCAACCCACCAGTCACGCTCCAGCCGTCCCACGAGGCAGAAGCAGGGCTCGCCCCGCCGGGAGTTGGTGACGCACAGCGCCAGGCTGCAGAGCGGCGTCGCTGTGGGGGGGGCGCGCACGGACACTGGGGGGGGCAGTACAGATGGGGGGACATCAGGGATGGGGGGGCAGAACGGGGCATGGCGGTGCCGTGAATAGTGGGAGAGGCAGAGGGGCATGGGCAGGTGGGGGGTGGCCGGGGAGGGGGGGCAGAGAGGACATGGTGGAAGGGGTAGGGGGGCCCAGGAAGGGACAAACGGACAAGGGGGGGATGTGGAGGGTCGGAGTCAGAGATGAGGCAGAAAGGGGGGAGAGAAATAGGATGAGTATTGAACCTTGAAAATCTGCCCCCCATTCAGAGACACCCCCATGGGGGGAGGGGCAGGGCGGGGGCAGAGGGGTAAACCAGCTCCCGGCTATTATACACTGTTCCCCCAGACCCCACTGCCCCCCATGCACTGGGACACCTGCTACCCCCCCAACTATGGGTCGCACCATCTGCCCTCGGATGGAAGGGTGTCATGATGGGGCTGACCCATCTCCCCAGGGATGCAGGAGGGGTCACTGAGGGTTGTCCCATCTCCCCAGGGATGTGGGGGAGGGTCACTATGGGGTCGTACCACCTCTCCCGGGAATGCAGGGGGGGGGTCACTGCGGGTCATACCATCTCTCCAGGAATGCAGGGGTTGTCACTGAGGGTTGTACCATCTCCCGTGGGATGCGGGGGGAGTCACTGTGGGTCATACCATCTCCCCTGGGACGCGGAGGGGGGTATAACTGGGGATCATACCCCATCTCCCCTGGGATGTGTGTGTTTGTGTGGGCGGGGGTCATTATGGGGTCTTACCATCTCCCCAGGGATGCAGGAAGGGAGTGTTGCTGTGGGTCGTACCATCTGCCCTGGGATGTGTGCACGGGGTCACTATGAAGTTGTATCATCTCTCCATGGAGTGGGGGGGAGAGGTTCACTATGGGGTCGTACCGTCTCCCCAGGGATGCAGGGGGGGTATCACCAGGGTTCGTACCATCTGCCCTGGGATATGTGTGTGTGTGGGGGGGTGGCGCGAGGGGGTCATACCATCTCCCCAGGGATGTGGGGGGGACACTGGGGGTTGTACCATCTGCTCTGGTAGAATCAGGGGAGGTCACTATGGATCATGTCGTGGGGGAGCGGAACAGCGGGATGGTCATATCGCCCCAGGAATTGAGGGGGGGCACACTATGGGTGGTACCATTTTCCTTAGGATTTAGAGGAGGGGGAAAGGAACCTCACTTTAGATCATACCATCTCCCATGGGATAAGGGGGGGGAGGATATTATTGTGGGTCCTACCATCTCCTTTGGGAGGCGGGTGGTGGGGAAATACCACCTGCCCTCAGTTTTGGGGGGACACAGGCTGTAGCGGGAGGGAGGCGGGGGGGGGGCAGGACTCACCGTAGTCAGGGACGAAGCCGTCGCCTTTCCTGAGCACCAGGCGGATGCGGCTGCCCCCCCGGCGGATCTGCTCCACGGCCCGGGCGTGCGTCATGCCCAGCGTGGGCTCCCCATTGATCTCCACCAGCTGGTCGCTCACCTGCCCCGGAGACTGACGCTGCAGTACTGGCCACTGCCACAGGGGGAGCCCCCGTGCCACATCCCCGCGCCCCCCGCAGCACGACGTCCCCCAGCCCCACTGCTAGGGGAGAGCCCCCCTGCCAAGCTCCCTGCCCCACGGCGCCCCCCAGCGTCCGGGCCCACCGCCAGGAGAGAGCCCCCCGTGCCCAGCCCCCCATCCTCCTCCCTGCAGCACAGCGCCCCCCAGCGCCCGGCCCCACTCCCCACAGCACGGCACCCCCCAGTGCTCGGCCCCACCACCAGGGGAGAGCCCCCCTGCCCAGGCCCCCCTCCTCCCCGCAGCATGGCACCCCCCACCGCCCGGCCCCACTGCTAGGGGAGAGCGCTCCCTGCCCAGCCCCCATCCCGCTCCCTGCTCCACGGCACCCCCCAGCGCTCGGCCCCACCACCAGGGGAGAGCGCCCCCTGCCCAGCCCCCGCCCCATGGCCCCCCCAGTGCAGGCAGGTACCTGTATCTTGCCGCTCTGCTGGGCCGGCCCCCCCTCCAGCAGCCCCAGCACATAGATGTCCATGTTGTATTCGCTGCCTCCCCGCAGGCTGAACCCGAAGCCAAGGGGGCCGCGCAGCAGCTCCACCGAGTAGCTAGGGGGGTCCTGGGGGGCCGACAGACGCTGGGGAACGGGGGGGAGGTGAGTGCCGCTCTGGGACCCCCGGACCAAGGGTCTCAGCCTCTGATAGCAAACCCGCTGCCCTGCCCCTCCCCTCCCCCAATCGCCATCTGCCCCCCAGTCCCACCCCTCCCCCCATATCTACCCCCCCGCTGACCTCTCCCCTCCCCCCATATCTGCCCCCTCGCTGGCCCCACCCCTCCCCCATACCAGCCATCTGTCCCCCTCCACTGGCCTTCCCCCCCCATACCAGCCCCTCTGCCTGCCCCCTACCTGTGGTTGGGGCAGCCGGCACCCCGGCCTCCCGGCTCCCTCCTCCACCTGGATGTCGGCCCCGTCCAGGTCGCTGGAGGCAGCTGGGGAGGGGGTGGGGGGGTCAGTGGGTGTGGGAGGGGGCAGCGGCCTGCTCCCCCTCTGGCCCCTCCCTCGCACCTCCAGCCCTCTCCCCTCCCCCATTCCCAGCCCCTTCCCATCCCCCACCCTTTCCCCCCCTCCTCCTGGTGGGGGGGGCACTCACCCGCATCCCTGGGGGGGGGCAGCATTCGCAGCCGGACCTTGGCCCCCGCCTGGCGAAAGAGGCCCCTGAGTTCAGGGTGGGAGAAGCGGGCCAGGAGCCCCCCGTCCTCCGGACGCTTCCCGCCGGGGGGGTCGCCGCTGGGCCCGGGCACCAGCCTGTCTGCTGGGTGGGGGGGGGGAGGGTCAGTGAATGGGGAGGGGGGCGCCATCTCCCCCCAAATCCCCCCCACTGGTGAACTGAACCTCCTGCCCACAGACCCTGCCCCCCTTCCCCCTCACGACCAGACCCCCCCGCACTGACCGAACCTCCCCCCCAGACCCAAACCCCTTCTAGAGACCAGACACCCCCCTGCACTGACCCAACCTCCCTGCCAGACCCAAACCCCTTCTAGAGACCAGAGCCCACCCTGGCATCGGCCTCCCCCAGCAACCCCCCTTCCCCCCAACCAGGCCCTCCAGAAACACTGACCCTCCCCCTCCTCCAGACAGGGCCCCACCCAAATTCTCCCCTCCCCCCCCAAGCTTTCAAACTTGAAGCTCTTATCGGGGGTCAATATTTACCCAGTGGGGTGGGGGGAGGTCTGGGCAGGAGACAGACGGGGAGAGGAGGGGGAGTTGGTTGTGGGGGGCAAGGGGGGGCTGTGGGGTAGGAGGCCAAGTGTGGGATGTGCAGGGCCGAGGGGGGCGGGGGGGGCAGAAGGGGCTGTGTGCGGGGTGGGGGAGAGGGGTTTATGTGGGGGGGAGGGGGCGCAGGGCGGGTTGTGGGGAGAGGGGGCTGACTGGGGTGGGGGGCCTGGCAGCAGGTGGCCGTGCGGGGCAGGGGGAGTCGAGGGGAATCTGAGTATGGAGGTGGCAGCATTGGGGGGGAGGGGGGTCACGTGTGGGGTGAGAGACACTCCCAGCCCCCCCCATTTCTATCTCCCCTTCCAAAACCACCCACTCAAAGTTACAGACTCCCCCTGTGTGTGGGGAGAACCCCCCTCCCTCAGGATGCAGCCCCCCCACCGCACCCCCAAAAACCAGGACAGGACGAGAAAGGCCGGTGGGGGAAGCTGGGGGGGTCGGTTCAAACCCTGGACGTTTCGCAGCACGGACTGGACCCTTTGCAGCATGGCTGGCCGTGGGGCGGCGGGGGGAGCCCCCCGGTTCCTGGGGGGGCACAGGCGTGGGGCGGGGTGTCCACGGGCCCCCCAGCTCGGCCGCCTTCGTCCCCGAGGAGTTTCCCAGGACAAACAAGCTGGGCTGAGAAAGTCAAGGACACTGAGGGGGGGGGGAATGTGGGCGTGGGGGGGGTTAACTCTTTGGGAGCTGGGGGGGGAGCGCCAGGCCTCTCCCAGCAGGGGGTGCTGTGGGGAGCGGGAGGGGGGAGAAGAAATTCCAGAGCTTTATGGGGTGGAACAGGTCGCGCCCCCCCATAGGTGCCCCCCAGCTGCCTGGGGAGGGGGGCGGAGCCTGACATGGGTCAGGGAGCAGAACACAATGGGGTTTCTTGTGCCAGGCGGGGGTGGGGGGGGCGGCTCAGAAAGGGGGGGGAGGGGATAGCTGGGAGAATGGGTGGGGAGACAGCTTCCCCATGTCCCCCACCCCACCCAGAAGTCACCCTGCCCCCTACATCCATCTCCCGGCGAGCTTCCCCAGCTCCCTGCCCCTCCCCCTGCAGCCCCCCCAGATTGCCTCCATCATCCCCCCATCATGGTCCCCCCCTCTTTGCACGCCCCCCATCTTCCACCCTCGCAGACCCCCTGCCCCCCTTCACTCCCCCCGTGGAGCCCGTCTCCCCCCCCCAGCTGTGCCCTCAGCTCCTCCTCCACCGCTCCGCAGACCCCCCAGCCATGCAGACCCCCCAGTCCTAAGCACCCCCAAACCCATCCCCCATAGCCCCCTCCCCCAACCTGCAGCCCTCCGCTTCCAACCCCCCCTTCCCACCGTGCACCCCTCCCCACTCACCTGCTCTCCCGGCGCTGTCCGGGGCCATGCTGCCCCCTAGCTCCCCGGGGCCCCCCGCGGGCTGGGGGCGTCGCGGCCTCCGGGCCTCCCCCCCGCGGCAGCGGGCCGGGCACAGCAGCACGTCCCTAGGTTCGGGTCCCACAAAGCTGGTGACGGCCAGGGTATCCCCGCTGGGACCCCCCCAAGAGCCCTGGGCCCCCCCCACCCGGGGGGGATCCCGGCAGGGGGAGGGGATGGAGAACAGGGGCTCCAGGGGGGGCTGGCGGAGTCCAGGACCTGCGGGGAGGGGAAGAAAAGGGGGGGATCAATCAGTACGGGGTCCCCCAAAATTACCAACACCCCACAGCTCCCCCTGCTGGGAAAGGCCGGAAGCTCCCCAACAGCCAGCGCCCCCTAGTGCGTCAGGCAGGAAGCGAAGCAGCCAGAGGCCCCCCAGCGCCCCCTAGTGGGTCAGGCAGGAAGCGAAGCAGCCAGGGGCCCCC